GGGCGGGTCCAGCTTCCACTTCTCTCCCCCAATTTCTACAAACAATCGTGCGCAACATCGGCTTCTAGTAAAACTCCGGGAAAGAGGGGGGGAAAAAAAGGAAAAACAGAAATGTGGAGTTGCCGCCGGGCTTGGAGCCAGCCTCTCAGACGGGCCACATGGAGCGGAGCCGGGGCCAGGGCTGGGGAGGAGGCCCAGGGCTGGCCGCTTAGCTAGGGAACAGGAGCTGAAGCCACAGCTCCCCTGGGCGAGGGCAGGCCTCTCCTGGGAGGAGAGACCTGACAGCGGGGGGTGGGGGGGGTGGGGGGGGTGGGGGGGTGGGGGGGCCCAAAGGTGAGAGGAAGCGGGGAGGACTGTGAAGAGAGGAGAGCCTGGAGAGCTCAGCAGAATATCACTCACCATCCAGTCTAGCTCCCTCCTTTTACGGATGTGAAAATTGAGGCTCAGAGAGGGAAAGGAACTTGTCCAAGGTAATACAGCAAGTTAAGAGCAGAGCTGAGATTAAAATCTAAATACCTAGTCAGTGACTTGGGAGAAAAAAGGAGAATAGGAGAGAGGGCTACTGGGCCAGGGCAAAGGACAAGGACTCCATGAGGCAGGCAGGAGATTCAGAGAAGCCAGAGGGGAAGGAAGGAATCTGGAAATGGGGGAGCAACCTTGTCAAGCATGGAGAACTTGGGCGAGAGGAGACTCTCATTCTAAAAAGGCCAAATGAATATGGGCCCCAGACTAGTCTTGGGGAGGGTCAGGCCGTAAGTGGGGGAGGGAAGGGAGGTAGACAAATTGGGCCCTACTACGGAGTAAAGGAAGTCTGATAGTCTCTGTAGCAGCGGGAGACTCACAGGACTCAGCGTCAGCCTGACCCGACAGGCAGCGCCTCCTGGGATGTTGGGGTCTGTCAGCGGACCCCTCTCCATCAGCGGACCCCTCTCCATCAGCGGGCCCCTCTCCACCACCTGGCCCTCAGTGCTGTGTTCTGGACCAGGTCCTGTGTGGAGGGACACTTGGGAAGGCTGAGCGGAAGTACTAGGAGAGCGCTGTGTGCTGAGCACTGTGGAGGCGCCCAGGTGCAAAGGCATGTATGTATGACTCAGTAAGGAGCAGCTGGGGCTATTGAGGAATGGGACGCAAGCTCCAAAACAGAAACTAACATAACGCGGGATAGACAGAGCGCCTAGGGGGCCAGGCAGATGGAGGAGGCGTGTTGTGGGTAAGAGGAGCAGAAAGACAGTGGCTGCTGCGGGAGTCAGAAAAGAGGTGTTGGAAGAGACAGAGAGGTTTCAGGTGGGGAAATGTGGTCCTCCTCAGTTTCCCCATCTATAACTTGGGAGTAATAACAGTGCCTCCTTCCTAGGTCTGTGAGGGCCGTTAACACACACAGAGTTTAGAATACTGCCTGGCATGTGGTAAATGCGCAGTTAGCTTTTATTTGTGTCAAGAAGTAGCATAGAAAGTCAGAGAAGTGCATTGCGGAGAAATCAGGGAGAGCCTCAGATAACTGGCTAAGAGTCTGGATTGCACAATTTTGAGGAGGGGATCAGTATCCCCGCAGAGAGAAGACCGAAGACCGTCAGCAAGAACAGTGGGCAGGGTGTTAGGGCACGAGGATGCTGGTTCCAGCTCCTCCTCTAACTACGTTATCACTTTGAGCAAGTCCCGGGATTCCACTGGGGGTCTGTTGCCTAAGGTCCCTTCCAAATTCTGCACTGCAAAGTGGTGCAGACCTGAAAGAGAAGGCTGGGTACCAGGGGAGCAGATGAAGGGAGACACCAGCGAAGAAGCCAGGGTTCTAGCTAGGATGGGTAGGTTGAGAGGAGGAGCAGGTTTGGAGGAAAGAAGGATGACCTTGATTTAAACATACAGGCATTTAGCTTTATTAGGCTTCACAGATGTTGCTTTTTTTTACAAATAGAAAATGTTACACATGTTTACAAATTTACTTCCTTCACCAGCAAAAGCATTACGACTCGCTTTATTGCAATATTCACTTAATTGTTGTGGTTAGGAACCGAACCCGCAATATCTCCGAGGTAGGCCTGTACTGAGTATAAGGTGAGAGTAACACATCTCAATAGAAATAGATGTCCAGGAGATGATTCAAAATGTGGATCTTGATTCTGGGAACCGTTTGCAGGGCAATGATTGGAAGCCATGGGAGGATGCCACCAACTCTTCACTGTGACTGAATGACCTGCCTCTGAGGTCCTATGAATGCTAAGGGTTGGGAGCAATGCAACAAGAAGACGGGATGGTGAGAGTAAGCCCTGGAACCAACAGACATGGGAGTCTGTGGCTGCCCCTTAGAGGTGCCGGATGGAGATCCTGATTTCCAAGTTGCTGCCGGTGGAAGGTTGCAGCTTCGTCCCTGGTCTCAGCATCAGTTCTAGGCCCTGGCTCTGGCAGGAAGCCAACCCACTTCCTCTCTAGGTTGTCCTGGCCACTGCTGTGGGCTTTCTTTCTCTGTTCTTTCCCCTCTTCTCTCCCTCGGGAGGCCTCTGGCAACCTGAGGAGTCATCCTAGCCATCTCGTCACTGCCCAGTTGTCACCCATTAAGTTTAAAAACCGGTTATATTTTAAGTGTGTCAAGTCAGAAATGTTGGCTTTGAAATACAATTGCAGTAAGTTACATATCATTTAGTCCTATAATTAGGGGCCGAGACCTCGGGGCTGACAGGGATGTCTGTGAAACATCACATAAATCAGCGGCTCTGGGTTCACTGGGGAGGCCCGAGGCGTTGGGCAAGAGGCTGCAGGGGAGACTAAGATGAGGGAGAATGCCATGGTGGCTGCAGTGGTAGTATTGGCAGATGGCCACAAATTTCCAAAGCAATTGGAATTCTTGAGGTCAACTAGGCTAAGTCCCTGGGGCATTAGGGCAGTATCTATTTTAAAACCGCTCCAAGATGGGGAATTTCCAAGGGTCTAGTGCCAGTGGGCAATCTTGGCTCTACGACGTAACTCATCCAGTCGACCATCACTAACTGAGCAACGAGCCCGTGCCCAGGGCGGGCCAGGGGCCACCAGTAGTAGTAAGGAACACTTTATGTCTAAGCATCTGTCAGAGATAAATATTGAGAGGGGAAAAAGGGGGGATAATATGAATTAGGCCTTGAGTCATGCAAACCCAGATGGGAATTCAAACTTGCGGGGACTCTTGAGCAAAAGTCTACTCCTCCTCTCAAATGCATACATTTCCTTTTCCTTCCAACCCTTCCACAGGTGCAATACTTTAGGTACCAACCTCCCTGGACTCAGGGTTCAGTCCCCTTCTCCCAGGTCTGGTTGATTTTTTCTCCTGAGTCTAATTCTAAACTCATCTTTTCCTTGAAAATGTCACACTAATCACAAAGATTAAGCTGCACATGTGCCCCCTCCAGATCCTCTCCCTCCTCCAATTCTTCACAGGATGAGGCTGTGCCTGTCCCATTTCCCACATACTCTGCTACCCAAGCTGTTTTCAAGCTTTATTCGTTCTTAGCTGGGTCTAGTTTTGTCCTGGAGACCATTTTTGTGTCAGTTCCTCTAGGCACCAGGCCAAGTGACCCATTCAAGGCTGATAAAGTCGCAGTGACCTAGGCACAGGAAGTTGTGGGAGGTGAAGGACATTTCTGGATGGCTCTAAAATACGTCCTTTTCCTCTTTTCCCTGACCCAGGACAGCCTACTGATATCAAATAAATCAGTGGCTCTGGGTTCACTGGATCAGAGGGAAGAGAATCAGGTGACACGGTCTTGAACCGGTCGTAGAACCGTGGTCAAATCAATTGCCTTCTGGGCCTGTTTCCTTCTTTATAAAACGATCTTGGAGGCACCCTTCCGCTCTGACAGTCTAGGAAGCTTGGCACCTGGCTCAGCGGGTTCGGGACAGGCTTGAAAATCTGCAGCACCTCATGCCATTGGCAGTCTGGAAAGTCTGCTTTCCAGGATCTAGTTCTGTTCCAGTCGTAGCTCTAAGATCTGCTTGGACTTGAATCTGCTTCAGATTTCCAGGGGACATGAAGCCTAATGTGTGTAATCCTTTAAGACCTAGACCCTCGTTCTCCCCAGCAGAGCTGGGGACAGACTGGCCCCTCGAGGAAACACATTCTGGGGTTTCAAGGTTATGTGGAGGGGACATGGGCTTGGGATTCTAAATAGGAAACCTCTGGGAAATACTGGGTGAGGGCTGGGGCGAGTGGGGAGGCCAGAGGAGCCAGGACCACGAAAGACAGAGGCTGAGCTTAGGCGTTACTGGACCAGAGCATGGCGGACACGCTGGTGATGGTCCCAGGCCAGGAAGGCCACGCTGGGCCCACAGGCGGCACTGGTCCCCCACCCGCTGCCCGGCCCCATGGGAACTCCTGTGGTTTTCTTTGGCTCAGGAGCAGCAGCGTCCCCTGAGCCCGGGCCCCTCTACCGCAAAGCAACTGGCTTCCATTACCCCTGTCAGCTCCGGCCCAGCCCCCCGCCCAGCCTGGCTCCGTGCCGTTCCCTTTTATGGTGAAGCCGAGGGCCGGGGAAGCCAGGGGTGAGGGCGGAGTGAGCAGCTTCTGGCTGGGCGGGGGGCTAGAGCCCC